CATATCATAATGCCATAGTTCAAACAGGTTGTAACTCAATACTGGTTACATAGAAACTGCAACAAACTTCCTGTGTTTTATCTACATATTTAGCAATAAAGCAGTTGACTCTTCTAATTTCTACATCAAAACCTTACATCCCCCCCAAAAAAATGTTAATCTACTAATTGTTCCTAGGTAAGAGAAGGCTTGATACCATGAATGTTAATATGAAGAAAAGAAATAGAAAAAAGTAAAAATTTTATTTAGGGTTGGTTGGTCTAACACTATATAGAAATAAAAAGCAGTAATTAGACAGCACCACAAGGCTGGTGGCCCCAACTGTCTATCAGCTTCAAATTTCTACTATAGAAGTCACTAATGGGTTTGATAACAAAGGCTGGTGGCCATTTCTTTAAAACACCTTACATAAAATGCACAAATTATGTTTACATAAATTGCACAAATGGATTTTCCATCTCCTTACCATTAGCATAATAGCAGGGATTAGTTTATTAGATTAGTAAGTTAAACTGATATCTCAATGCCTAAGGGAATAAAATAGGACAAATTAAGTTCAGGGTCTGTTCATGGTCTGACAGAGCTATGGCAGTGATAAATTGAGGGGACTAGAAAGGAGAATTAAGGTGGTGAGGTCTAAGATTGTGTGAGTGCTTTAAGCCACATACTTTTATCTAGAATATAAATCCAAACTCTTTTGATATAGAAAAGTTTTGATGATACAAACAACTGTCTGTGATATTTTAATTTTTATTTACCAAGTCAGGAAATTGTATAATTGGTAACTCATTTCTTGCTGTCACAATTATGTTATTTTTAGATGATTTTGCTCTGTTGTCTGTCTCCTAGGAAATCTGTTATTTCAAAGAAAAGTTAACTTAAGATGTAGCACTGACCTCTGGGGCTGTACTACTTTGTTTTTCAAGCACTATCCTCAGATTGCTCACTATTTTCAGCTCAGGCAGAAGTCATCTCTTGGGTGGCCTATTCCTGAGGAAGATCTACTACTTTTTTTTTTTTTTTGGTCCAGTTGTGGGGCCTGAATTCTGGGCCTGGGCACTGTCCCTCAGCTCTTTAGCTCAAGGCTAGCACTCTACCACTGAGCCACAGGGCCACTTCCGGCTTTTTTCTTTTTGCTTATGTGGTGCTGAGGAATCGAACCCTGGGCCTCATGCATGCAAGGCAAGCGCCCAACCACGGAGCCACCTTCCCAGCCCCAAATACTTTTTTTTTTAATATTAGAAGAGTATTCTTGTTTGCATCTAATTTCCTAATAAGATTAACAGTGTTGGGGCAAACAAGTGAGTTAAGTGAGCCAAGAAAATGAATTAGAAGAGATAAGGATGTGTTGCTTCTGAGAATGCTCCTTCAATGCATATATACAAGGTAGGCACTGGCTTACTTGGTGTGATTTTAGAGACACTGAGTTGGTCTACCCTAGTCTATGGAATATATTCGATAGTCTGAAGAAAAGTTGGAGAAAAAACAGAGGATAAAAAAAAATAAAAGGGCAATGATGTGCAAAAAGTAGAGGATGAATGCTACAATGACAGACCTGCCTGAAATGGAAAACAGTGCAGATATTTCTTTGAAAGGTGAGGCTGGACTCCACCAATAGCATTAGCATTATATTCTGAATGAATTTACATTTCATTTACCCATAGGGCTCAAACTCTGAGATTAATATTCTAGTAACAAAAGATTGGTACTGGCCAATGCCAGGGAAGAGGAATTCCAACTAAAATGAAATCTAAGGAAGCTTTTTTGATAACTCCAGGTCCAGATTATACATTTTACTTTTTGTTGTTAAGTCAAATATGTAGCTGTGCTGTTCAATCACCAGGGAACAGATTATTTGAAATTGTTTACTTTTCTTTTGTCAGTGCTCCAAACCTGTTGCTGCAGTGTTCTTAGTTAATAAGCAATGTTGAGGATGCAAGTCTATACAGTCATGTATGTCCATACAAATCTATGTTTTCAGCTGGGCACTGGTGGCTCACGCCTGTAATCCTAGCTACTCAGAAGGCTGATATCTGAGGATCATGGTTCAAAGCCAGCCCAGGCAGGAAAGACTGTGAGACTCCTATCTCCAATAAACCACCAGAAAACCGGAAGTGGTGCTGTAGCTCAAGTGGTAGAGCGCTCGCCTTGAGCTGAAGAGCTGAGGGACAGCGTCCAGGCCCAGAGTTCAAGCCCCAGGACCGACAAAAAAAAAAAAAAAAAAAAAGAATACCTGAGCCTGAGCCAGAGCTCAGGCCTGTAATTCTAGCTACTCAGGAGGCTGAGATCTGAGGATCATGGTTCAAAGCCAGCCAAGGCAGGAAAGACTGTGAGACTCCTATCTCCAATAAAACACCAGAAAGCTGGAAGTGGCACTGTAGCTCAAGTGGTAGAGCGCTCGCCTTGAGCTGAAGAGCTGAGGGATAGCGCCCAGGCCCAGAGTTCAAGACCCATGGACCCCCCCACCCCCCCAAAAAAATCTATGTTTTCCTTTGTGTGCTCCCAAGGATTTCATCTTTTGTAAGGATATTACTGCTAATTCAGTGGTAGTGTGGTTACTTTCTATTGGACTTCAGCTTTCTTTCAATCCACTGACATTGGCAACAATGCAAGAGCAAGTCAGCTAGCAAGGGTTTATCTGGGAATTGATTTCAACATGTTTATTAGGTAGTTCTAAATTAATCCTTTTCTTAGGCATGTAGTTGCCAACTCTATGCATTAAGCATTAGAAGTGGTATTGGTGAGATATACAGTAATTCTCCCTTATCTAAAGTTTTGTTTTCCACGGTTTTAATTACGTAGGGTTAATTATTCTGCCTGGGACTTGAATTATTCTTTTGTCTAGTGAATCTATGTTGTATATACTACCCACTATTAATCACTTGGTAGCCCTCTCATTTATCAGATTGATGGTTGTGGTATTGCAGTGCTTGGCCGAGTAACATTTATTTTACTCAACAAAGAACAGTAATGTTGACAGTCTAGATACCCCAAAGAGAAGCTTTAAGGTGTTCCTTAAAAACATAAAAAGTACAACAGATATTTTGAAAGGTAATGGTTATATAACTTTAATTATAGCATATTGTTATGCTTGTTTTTGCTTTTGTTTTTTCATTTTTCAACTCTACCTAATTTCCAAATTAAAATTTATCACAGTCATGAATAAGAAAAATGATGGCAAGTAGAGGGTTTTGGAAAGCCACTAGAGGTCTTAGAATGTACAAAATATGTGTGTGTGTGTGTGTGTGTGTGTGTGTATGTGTGTGTGTGTGTGTGTGTGTGCACCTTATAATAAAACTGTTTTGAGAATGCCATAAAATTAATCTAAAACTGAGTTTTTCTTTTTAATCTTGTGCCTCAAAATGCTAATAGCTGAAGAATGTTGCTGCCTCTCTAGTCAGTCACAGGATTTTGTTAAAGATACATTTTTAACTAAGGCAGGTAAGGAGAAAACATTGAAGAGTATATACCCTGAATACTTCCTTTTTATGCTGTACTGTTCTAGGTATTATACTCTAGGAAGAAAGCCTCATTATTACTTTTATGTAGATAAGACACATTCTTTTTCTAAAAGTCACAGCTTCAAGAAGATTCAGGATTTATATCCACATAATTCAGCACAACATTTTCTCTTCTTTCCACTGCAGCATGTTTCCTTATTAAGTCTCTCTGAGAGGAAATAATGCAAAATCTACTGTCTGGATTAATTACTATCAGAATCTGGAGCTACTTTTCTTTCCTTTTTTTTTGTGGGCTATGGGGCTTGAACTCAGGGCCTCTGAGCTGTTTCTGAGCTCTTTTGCTCAAGGCTAGCACTCTACCACTTGAGCCACAGCTCCACTTCTGGTTTTGAGGTAGTCAGTTGGAGATAAGAGTCTCCTGGCCTTTCCTGCCAGGAAAGGGCTGGCGGCTTTGAACCACAATCTGCAGATCTCAGACTTCTGAGTAATTACTCAGGAGCGACTTTTTTTAATGAATAAGAATGAAGTAGCTGGGTAGCATGCCCCCAAACTGAGTCATCTCTCATAAGGCCTGGTAAAGAATATGGTCATAGAAGTAATAAAACCTCAGCATCATCAGAGTTTTAGACTTGATGAATCAGTGTGAGGTATAGACAAATATAGCCTATTCTTCTTTCTGAGCCAGAATAAATTCTGTATTTCCCAGCTCTATTGGTGCCTTCCTTGTTTCCTAGAAATAGTAATAGACTTACTTTTGAAAACATATACTGTATTAAAAGAATGAAAAAAATAAATGTAAAGGAATAGAAAGCATCACCTACTAGGATGATGGAATTTATGTTCCACCCAATAGAATGGGATGGTTTTTCATATCTAATCTGGTTGTTGAGTTGAGAAAGATTCTCACCATGGATCAAGCTCACCAGGAAAGAGGTATGGTACAAATGAATGTTATCTGTCATAGATATAAAATGGAGAGGCAGTAGTGTGTGCCATATGTTTGTCATCTTTATTTTAGTTTTTCCTCCCTTTCTTTTCTATTAAATTTGTGAGTTTGGTTAAATGATTCAGTAATCAAAGGTATTTATATCCAAATGAGGATAATGGCACATTATCTAAAAACACCAGCTTATCTCTGAGTTTAAAGTTCTATCTTTCAAATGGATATAATAATTTATAAAATAATTCTCTAAGTCAGAGGTAAACAATATACTAAAACTTCTTTGCATATCTGAAAAATACTGTTGAAATCTGTTAAGTGGCTAATTAGAGCCGATGGTCTTTGGGTGGAGCCAGTGAAAATTTAGTGTAGGGCTGTACTCTAAATGTTTATGCAGATGTTGAGTCTTCAGGAAATAACACTGTGAGAAAACACAGTACTAAAACCTCATCACAGCTTTGATGGAAAAGAAAAAGAGATGATGTCTCCTCTTAGGGAAGTGTTTAATGAAGAATATTTCTCACTACTTCTAATACCCAAGATCCATGTAAGAATTAAAAAATAGGCTCAAAACTGCTGATCACAGATGTATATCTTACCTGGGATCACAGAGAAATTTGGTTTTCTCTCCTTCTTCTCTCCAGATAAGCCATTCTCGAAAAGAAGGATGAACAAACATACGAGTCATGTCTCTGCGCTTGATTAGGAACATAGATAGGTTCTCCATTCTCTGTTGAAAATCTTCCCATTCTAGTGTGCCCTCAATGCTACCAGCATTGATGGCCTGAAAGATATGCTCATCAGTCAGTGGGTGGAGAGAGGCCACTGCCACATTCAGGAGAGGCATCACCCGGTCAAAGGAAGACTGGGTTGGGAACTTCATATTGCATTGGAGTAAATAAACCTCTGAGAGTGAAACAGGAACTACTTTGTAGCTAGAACTCTTTAATACTAGATAACCTTTCTCTATGAGGTCAAATGTGAGCTTCAGGTATAGATAGGACCCTTGACTGAGAGTCTTGAGATGAGAACTGAGTTTGCCAAATGTAGTATTGTCCATTTTGCCATTAAGTGAAATGTTATTCTGGATCTCTGAGCTGCTGTGTATCCGGTGCAAGATGTAAGCCTGCAGGTCCTGGTCTATGGCTTCATTCTCTTCTAGTCGATCCAAAAATATCCTATGGAAAGGCAGCAACTTGGTAATTTCCTAAAACAGATGAAGAGAGAGAGAAAGACAGAAAGACCTTCAGTTTCTCCTAACTCTTGTGATAAACTATTAGGTCCACAAATTTACTCTAAACTTTTGAGTGGCCAAAGAAAAGAGGATCTAGTATTAGTATCCATAGGTTAAAACAAATTAGTTGCATAGAAAGAACATTAATTTTCCTGATATTGAGATTTTTTTTAAAGGTTATTTTTTTAGGGGTCTCTGAATGGGTACTTTAGGAGTGATTTTATGGTTAGTATTCTAAATAACCCTCCTAAAACAAATAGAAAATGAAGTGCTACAAAAATCAATGGTCATAATTTTTCTCAGTGCAAGTCATAGCATGATGCCAAAGTACAATTCCGTAAGAGAAATGTATAAAGATTCAAAGAATGCCATGTAAAACATGGATTTTAATTTAAAAAAAATGAAACAAAATGTGCCTTTCTAACCCTTCTACTAAAATGACTGACTACATTTATCAGGCCTTCTGGAATTGCCTGAGCTAAAAGCTTGGTACTTGCATCCCCTGCTTGGAAATTATATTGGGGGAGGGAAATAAGGTGACTCTTACGTACTAAGATTCCATTTCTTTCAAATCTACTCAAAGACTTTGCTCCTGTTAGTACTCATTCTCTCTTCTGTATCATTTCTTCTTTTTAGCAGATCACATACACACTACCATATTCATTGCAGCTACTACTCTAATTCTGTTCTCTTGTCTAGTAAAATTACAGAAAGTTTTCTCTCTCTGCTATTGTTGTCCCCTCCTTCCTTCCTTCCTTCCGTTCTTCCATCCGCCCTCCCTTTCTTCCTTTCTCTCTCTGCTGGTTCTGGGGGCTGTCTCTGAGTTTTGTTTTTCTTTCTTTTTTGCTCAAGGCTAATACTCTATCACTTGAGCGACAGCTCTATGTATGGATTATTTAATCACTTTCAGGTTTCATTTTCTTCAACCTTTTATTAATGTGACACAACTGACTATACCTTTCTGCAAGTTTGTATTAAGTCACTTCAAAAGTTTGCTTCCATTGCATATTCCTCTCAGCAGACTGCCTGCCTCTTCTGGATTCTCTCATTTCCTAGCCCACTGAGGGCTCAACTTTCCAGCTTTTGGCTTCTGTAGGCACTCTTTATATGCCGAAATAGTTTATTTAGGCTCAGGATCTAAATACCTATCCATATGTAGGTGATACCTAACTTTATGGTGCTAGGTTATTTTCCCTGAATTCCCACCTTATACCTGTCAATTCAACTGTTTTACCTGGATGTTTCATAGATAATATGAACTAGTGGATTCTGTTCCAGATCACAAAACCTTTCACATGTCAAGAAATGGCATTACTAGTGAGCCTACCACCAAATCATCAGTGATACCTGTGATCTTTTCCTCAAGACAGCAGTTGCTTATGTGCTCATCAAAATCCCAGGATTTATTCTTGACTCTCTTTCTCTTATTATGTCCATATTTAGTCCACCGTCAGTCTTTCTTTTTTAAAAAATGTTTTGTTTTCTGAGACAAGTTCTCAATATGTAGCCCAGGCTGGCCTCAAACTTATGATTCTCTTGCCTTAGCTTCCTCAGTGCTGAGATTACAGGTATGTATCACCACACTTGCCTCATCAAGTCCTTTTGACTGTTCTTCACAATATATTCCAAATATGAATACCAGTTCACAATGGTGTACATCATTATCACTCTAGACTAAGACACCATCACCTTTCACATGTATATCTGCTTTTAATATTGATTTTCTATATTTTATTATACAGAGAGCCAGCAGAGATCTTCAGAATACTTAATACTACTTATAATTTCAGTATATAATTAATGTTTTATTTATTTATTTTTGCTCTTTACTAGAATATAAACTTAATGAAGGCTGGGTCCTGTTCACTGTTGAATTTCCAGCCTCTAGAACTGTGTCTGACATACTCAAATGTCTGTGGAAATAATGAAAAATATGACTTTGTAAAGCAAATAAAATTTGAAAATTCTTGATTGAAGTAAATGAAGTAACTGAAAAGTTACTGCAAGTTTATATCCATGAAGACACTGAAATTTGGACTTTATAGATGAATATGCACAGAGCTTTTTCTGTTCTTTCGCAGATAAAAAATTAAGTTATCTGCCTTACTCAGACATACTGAAAATTTCTTCTGCAAATGTACATGATATTGTATGAAAATATATGAGGAAAATAGTGCCCGAGTATACATTTGGTAAAAAAATAGTCAGAGATTGTAGCTGGGTAGTGTAGCATATGCCTATAATCCCAGCACTTGAAAGCTGAGGCCAGCCTGGTCTACATAATGAGACCCTCTGTCAAAAGAAAGAAAATTGATTGTATTCACAGAGGTTTCTTCATTTTATCCTTTATCTTGGATAATTAAGATGCTGGCCAATATTGATAGGTTACAGAGTTTTTATAGGATGCACTTATGTTGATCTGTATTCTTTAATTCAAATTACTTTAAGATTAATAATATTTGTAAAGGAATGGTAGAGTTAGAAATAGAGTTTTTGGTCACAGAAGGTAATAAATCCAATTGGTCAACACATAGGGATAACACTAAAGCTTAGGAGAAGGAAAACAAAGTGACTTTCTGCAAAACTTTCCCATATATTAGCAATTATCACAAGTGGGTTGCATCAAACTAAAAAAGAGATTGAGAGCACTGCTGTAAACCACATGTGACCATATCAAGAATGGGAGATACCAATGCAGTTAAAATGAGAATGACAGGAAGGGGAATCGTTTATCTTTATCCCATATATTTTTATAGGTGCAGTCCTATATTCCTGATCCTCCTTCTAGACCATTAAGTGATCAGTGAGAAAGCAGGGGAAATAATTAAAAAGACAAAACAAACCAAGACCTTAATTTCCTAGTTGCAATAAATGTAATCTAAAGACTTATTTCTGTCATTATTATTTGAAGAGGGCATATTCAAAAGCAAGTCTACCTTCACTGTACAGAAAAACTGTCCAGGTAAAAGTAGAAGGAAGAGCCAGAAAAATCTCTCACCCATAGTCTGAAGTGGATTTTTCCACAACATCAAATTACTTAAGAAAATGTAAAGTGAAAGTCAAAATTGCTTAGAATTTTCTTTGCACAAATGTCTTCAGATCTAGAAAGCAGAATTTCTGTTCATATTCTTTTTTTTTTTCTTTTTAAAGACAGGGGTTTTCTATGTAGTTCAGACTGGCTTTGAACTCACAATTCTCTTGTTTTTGTTTCCCAAGTGCTAAGATTACAGCACATACCATCTAGCCTTTTCATGCTATTTTGAGGAACATTTTACCAAACTTTATCTAGAACAATAGGAATAGGAATTTGAGAAACATATATACAAAGAATGCTTTTCTAGATCAGATCTCTTAGACTTTTAGGGGCTTATTCCTGCTAATGCTCTAGGATAGAGTAAAGATTCAGTCATTGTTACAGACACTGTTAGAATGTTTTCAGTTTATGTCTTTTCTAAGGCAAATAACAGTTCAAAGGCAAATGAACACATACCTGTAAACTTGTCCTAACTGTTACAATTAGTTTGAGCCAAGAAGGAAATTTCCCTATCATTTTACTCAGAAATGATACAATTGTATCCCCATAATCCGGTTTGTGAAATTCTGCTTCATTTAATCCATCAATTAAAATGATGAAATCTTCATCTGGGATTTTTCTCTCTGTGACAGAAAGAAACAAATTACTTTATGATTACCAAGTAGACAGTGGGTTCTTACCAGGTCTTTGATCACGTATATATCTTGAAAAAAGCATTTAAAAAGGTTTCTCATTAGGCCTTGAATACTCAGAGTACACAGCTTATTTTTAAGACATGAAACAATTCATAATAATTCATTTACTGACTTAGTTTGCTTTTTTCCCCACTAGAGAGGAAAGCTTTTGTCATATACATGAGTACATATATCATCATTTTTAGAATCCCCATTTTATCCACGGTGAGAGAGAACTAGTGTTGTGAGAACTGGCACACAGAAACTCATTTTTTCAGTTGGCTCAAGTGGTAGAGTACTAGCCTGCCACGCCCAATGCCCCGAGTTCAAGCCAAGTACTGCAAAAAAACCCCAAACAAATAAAAAACAACCTCCCCCAACCCAAACTCAAAGCCTACAACAAAACAAAACCCAAACCAAAAGAAATTCATTTTTTCCTGACACATTGAAATCTAAATAAAATGTATTTCTTTTCTTTATTAGATAGCAACAAAGGGAATAGTATCTATTTTGGGGGAATGTCTCAGAAATAGTTGGAACTTGTAGTCAAAAGTAGTATATAGTACTAGATGTGAATATATACTGGGAATCTTCCAAGAGAAGGAGTCATTGGAAGAGACATATCAGCTGTTTGTATCCAGTTCCCTCCTGGACTCTACAGATCCTCAATTGAATAATGTTTAGTTTATCTTGAGGCTAGGCTGAAGAAGGAAGCTAAGTGGATTTTAGTCTTCCAATCTTAGCAAATGCTTATCAGTTCTTGAACAACCTTCAACAATTTAGACTAAAAATCCCCAGACTGAATTAACATTTTTAATATAAATGAACTATACAAGTAAGTTATTAGTATTTAGTAGGACTTAAAAGGTTTGGAAAAGAGGAAGCATAAGGAAGGTAAGAAGTTCTTGTATGTTTGACAAAGAAACTGGTTTCACTGAGAAGGAAATGAAGTTGGGTTCAAAATAAGGAGGTTTGAGAACTTCTGTATAACATTAGTTCTTTTTACCTTTAAGAGTCAAAAGCAATCAAATTATTCATGTCATTTTGGTTTCACAGTTCAACACACAGCACAAATATTTTGTAATGGTTAATAAACTTTTATATTTTCCCTTCTTAAAACACAAGCTTTGTATGAAGGAATTAACTTTAACATCTCAAATTATGAAGAGTTTTTACTATTATTTTCATGTGGCAATGTCTCAAGAAAAGAAGTCAACTATGGCTTCCAGTTCAATCTTTTTATAATGATCACTAAAATGGGACTAACTGGAATTTACCCCAAAAAACTAGGGGCTATCATGTTCTTGGATTTGAGGGCTCTCATGCATAATTATCTTTAATTTCTTTTTCTAATTTTTTTTGTCAGTCGTGGGGTTTGAACTCTGGGCCTGGGCGCTGTCCCTCAGCCCTTCAGCTCAAGCCCCTCAGCCCTTGAACCACAGCACCACTTCTGGTTTTCTGAGTGGTTTATTAGACATAGTAGTCTCTTGGGTTTTTCTGCCCTGGCTGGCAGAACCGGGATCCTCAGATCTCAGCCTCCTGAATAGCTAGGATTACAGGCGTAAGACACTGGTACCTGGCTATTGTCTTTAATTTCTATAGAGAAATTTTCTAATTGCATTTTCTAATTGCTAAGTATCAGTCCCTATCCCACCCAATGATGTGCTAGAGTCGAGTACTAGTTCAAGAAACTCATTGCCATTATATTATTATTAATTATTATTGTTGTTGTTGTTGTTGGTTGTGGGGCTTGAACTCAGGGACTGGTTTCTGTCCCTAAGTTCTTTCATTTAAGGTTAGTGCCCTACCACTTTGTGCCACAGTTCCACTTCTGGTTTTTGAGTGGTTAATTGGAGATAAGAGTCTCCTGGCTGGCTAGCTTTGAACTGTGGTCCTCCAATCTCAGCCTCCTGAGTAGCTAGGATTACAGGTGTGAGCCACTGGTACCTGGCCCTGCCGCACTTTTAAGAGTTAGTTTGTAAATAACTGGTAACTTGAAACTGGCTAGGTTGGGAATATTTTCACATTAGAAGCTGGTAAAGGTAAACATCAGCTTTCATCCGCCTTCATCTACTAAAAGTTCATAGCACACCACTGTCTTCACCCTTCAAATGTATCTCTTTTAACTTCACCTGGTTCCTTCTTAAGAAAGCTATCACAAATCATGAGTAAATGTATCAATCCTTTTTTATTTTTGAAAGTGGTTATTAGTCCCCTTAGTCAAGACAGTGACATTCTTTTAAATCTTGCCTTTTTTTCCCCTTTTTCTTTTGATTCTTCTCCTTTGAAGGAATTACTTACAAGTCACCTATGAATGAGATGTCAACAAATATTTCATCTGTTAAGAAGTGAAAATGGCATGCATACCTAAGAATACTATTATTTTTGTAGGATTCAGAATAATAAAGACTTTCCTAATGGTACCAATATAAAACAATGAAAACACTTGCTGCAAATTTCATTTGGTAAATAAGGTTTCTCTATTTAAGAGAAGAAATCTTAATAAGGTTTAGAATTTGCCATTCAAATACAATAATAAAATCCTAAATTCTTATATATATGTAACAATATGTTAAGTTCTACAACTGAGATTCAGAAAATAAGGTAGCATTGAAGCTGATCCTTGAAAGCTGGGTAGAATTATGAAAGACACAGATCTGAGGAAAATGCATATTAAGATGGGGAGGGCTGGGAATATGGCTTAGTGGTAGAGTGCTTGTCTAGCATGCATGAAGCCCTGGGTTTGATTCCTCAGTACAACATACACAGAAAAAATCCTAAAGTGGCCTTGTGGCTCAAGTGGTAGAGTGCTAGCCTTGAGCAAAAGAACTCAGGGACAGTGCCTAGGTCCTGAGTTCAAGCCCCAGGACCGGCAAAAATAAAAAAAAGATGGGGAAACAGTGAGTAAATATATAGAGGCAGGAAAATGTAGGGAATGTTTAAGGACTATTTAATATTTAGGTTTACATATAAATGCAGGATCATAAGGATAAAATGAGTAATAAAGTTGTAAAGCAGATTGGTTTAAGCACCTTGATTAAGGTCTGAGTTAACTTAGTAGCCAACAGAGAATCACTGATTTCAAAATTAGGAAGTTAAGTGATTATAACAATACTTTAATACAGCTTTATCTGGAATCAATACATAAAATCTGGAAGACTGGAGAGACTGAATCAGAACTTTCCTACAAGGTATACCATGAATAAGTTAGAAGTAGACTTCAAAATGAATCTCTTAGTCTAGTTAAAGCTATTTGAGAGACTAGCGTGAGAGGATCACATGATCCTAGGAGTTTGAGATTAGCTCGGGCAATATAGTAAGGCCCAGTTAAAAAAAAATCCAACCCTTGACCCATTCAACAATGAGATGTACAAGATTCTATGTCGAAAACAAACTTTACAATTTAGGGGGAGGTGTAGTTGTGGAGATGGGAGGGAAGGAATGGCAGGGGAAAAACAAAGGAGGAGGCAACAATGTTTGATAAGAAATGTACTCATTAACTTGCTCATGTAATTGTAACCCCTCTGTACAGTATTTTCACAATAAAAAACTTATTAAAAAAATCCAACCCTTTGGCACTCCAGCCAGGAGAAATTATAAACTTTTATCCCAGTAACCTATATAAATTTATATATTTTTTAAGTTATATAATTTAAATTTGTATATATAATTTTATATAAGAGATAATATATAATACATAATATAGTATATTATATATTATATAATTTTGAATTTATATAATTTAAAGTTTATATAAATTTTAATGTGTGTTATGATGTGAAAGAAGAATTAAACCAAAGAACCAGGTTATGAGAAGCTGAACAGTTCTTGGGGTAATAATGGTATAAACAAATTTGAGACAAATATATGTGAAAAGTATAATTAAGCAGATTAACAGGATTTAAGAGATTGAGAGAATGTGTGCTTAAAAATATTTGTGGAGAAATCCCAAAGTTTGGAAAATTCTAGTGTATGGAAGAGGTAATCGGTAGTAAAAGTCAAGACAGAGGGGCTGGGAAGGTGGCTCAGTGGTAGCGCGCTTGCCTTGCATGCCTAAGGCCCTGGGTTCGATTCCTCAGCACCACATAAGCAAAAAGAAAAAAAAAAGCCGGAAGTGGTGCTGTGGCTCAAGTGGTAGAGTGTTAGCCTTGAGCTTAAGAGCTGAGGGACAGCGCCCAGGCCCAGAGTTCAGGCCCACGACTGGACCCAAAAAAAAAAAAAAAAGTCAAGACAGAGTCATTACAGTTGAGAAGAAAGAAAAATATAATGAATAAATAATCAGTATCAAAGTTGAAATAAATGAATATGATAGCCAGGAGATTAGAAAATATAAACACTTAATTTCCTTTTTTTTGGTGGTGGTACTGGAGTTTGAACTCAGAGCTTTCTGTTTGTTAGGAAGCTACACAACCACTTCAACCATACCTCTAGCCCTAACACTGATTTTGTTTTGTTTTGAATGAACAATATTGTTTTGGAATTCTGTGATTACTCAAATCCTTATTTTTGGCTTCTAGGATAGAAACAATATTAAGAGCATAGGGAAACCAGGAGACAGTGGCTCACGCCTGTAATCCTAGCTACTCAGGAGGCTGAGATCTGAGGATTGCAGTTTGAAGCCAGCCCTGGCATGAAAGTCTAGGAGACTTCTTAGCTTCAATTAACCACCAGAAAATTGGAAGTGGAGCTGTTGCTCAAAGTGATAGAGCACTAGCCTTAAGTGAAAGAATTCAGGGACAATGCCCAGACCCTGAGTTCAAGCCCCATGACAATAAATAAATAAATAATAAAAAAAAGAGCATAGGGAAAGTAGATTTATGAAGGAGTTGGCTGGACTTAGGCCACAACTAACACTAGAGCTGAAGAGGAAAGAGGAGGAAAAGGCTTGAACATGAGTGGGAAACATATTCCAATTCTTCAGCTTTTAAAAAATAGATTTCCTAATACAATTTATGTAGCATAAAATATCCTTAGGTTTTTTTTTTGGTCAGTTGTGGATCTTGAACTCAGGGCCTGGGCACTGTCGCTGAGCTTCTTTGTGCTCAAGGTTAGCCCCCTGCCACTTGAACCAAAGCACCACTTCCAGTTTTTGAGTGTTTAACTGGAGACAAAGAGTCTCACAAGTACTTTTATACTGGGGCTGGCTTCGAACGCTGATACTCAGATCTCAGCCTCCTGAGTAGCTAAGATTACAGGTGTGAGCCACTGGTACCCAGCTGCCTTACGCCTTTTAAGTTGCCTTGAAGGGAAATAATTAAGTGATTTCTACCATCAATATAGTGCTTTCCAATCACAAGTGGTTTACATCAACTGATGGGGTAATACAAAAATACTACACAAAAACTAGGGAGTTTCTAACTACAGAAACTGCAACACCTGGGGCTGGGAAGGTGGCTCAGTGGTAGAGCGCTTGCTTTGCATGCATGAGGCCCTGGGTTGGATTCCTCAGCACCATATAAGCAAAAAGAAAAAAAGCCGGAAGTGGCTCTGTGGCTCAAGCTCAAGCTCAAGGCGCTAGCCTTGAGCTGAAGAGCTGAGGGACAGCGCCCAGGCCCAGAGTTCAGGCCCCACGACCGGACCCAAAAAACAAAACCAACCAAACAAAAAAAACTGCAACACCTGATTGGAGCTACAATATACTTGAACTCCACAGAGAAGACTGGAGGCTCTTTTATCTTTAGTATAAGAAAAAGGAGCCAGGTGTGAGGAGTCAGGCTGACAACCCAAATTCCAACTGTATGGGAGATGAAAATGGGAGGATCTCAGTTTGCGGCCAACCTGGGCAAAAGACCTCATCTAAACTTACAAGCTAGGTGTGATGGCCTACATTTGTAATCCTAGCTACTAACGAATATAAGTAGGAGGACAGGACACTGAGGCTTTGTCCTGGACAAAAAACCCTAAGACCCAGTCTGAAAACAACTTAAATAATAAAAAGGACTCAGAATATGGCCCAAGTGGAAGAGCACTTGCCTAGCAAACACAGGTCTTGAGTGTAAATCCTCATAGCAGAAAGAAAAAAAAAAAAGATAAGGAATTACCCTTGGATATCAAAATGAGAACTTTCATAAAGGAGGAAGGAGCAGCTGGTGAAGAAATCTGTTTGTTTTCAAGTTAAAAATGTATTTTGGAATAGGGTCTTGCTATGCTGCCTAGGCTGGCCTCAAACTCTGGCCTCAAGCAAGCCTTCTGTCCAGTTTCTAGGTGTTGAGATTTTAAGTACACATCACTACACTTCTTACAAGTAAAATTATTTATCTGTTAACAGTATCTGTGAACTGACATCAGCTTTTAGTTCTGGCTATGTGAAAAAAATTATTTCTAAAGCACAATCCAGGTGACTGGGGCTCTTTTCATTTTCTCTGGAGCTCATCTGTACCTTTGTGGAGATTCTCCAGGGGCTCCAGGACTCCTCTTCGGAAGGAGGCCATGGGGTCTTGAACACAGGACCGAAGGCTCAGCATGCTCTGCAGATGAGGCTCCCGTAGAAGTTGCTCCCGATAAGCAGTCAGTTGAGGTGAGCGGCAGAGCAAAGCAGCAACATTGTGGACAAATTCTGGGACTAGGCAGGTGTAGGCATTATCTGCTTGGCAATAATGATAGGCAACCACCTAAAAAAGAAAGATAAGGCGGGCTTATCAGCATACGCAATAGATGTGGTCATTTTGCAATAATTTTCTAACAATATCTTTTGCTTCTCCATTTCCTCAACCATTTCAAGTAAAATTAAAGCTGCTAATACAACTATCTGATTTATGTAAGATCAGAAGTTAGATACAATATTTGTTTATATATATGTTATATACATATTCTCCTTCTGAACTACAATAGGAAACAATATTGAAAGTGAAGATGTACATTATTGTACAATGTGAAAATGCTAAAATTTATTCAGCACAGAGTACTACTATACATGAGGGTCTTATCTTGTAACAAAGTAATAGGAATAAAATAATTGGAGAAAGAGCATGTTAGCCTCAACAAATACATGTTTCATTTCCATTGGTGTTTTTAAATCACAGCTGTGTTATAAATGAAGCCTTATAAAGACATAGTAAGTTAAAAAATGATCATATATTTTCCGAGACCCTTCACAAAGAGCAAGTACCAGAATTAGATGAAAGAAGGAAAAGCTTAAAGAATTTAAATTCATGAATCTTAATAACATTTAGGGTTTGGACTGTCTGGCAAGAACCTAGAGTTTTAGGCAATGATTTCATCTTTGAATATACACAAAGTTCATTCCTTATCTCCTGTCTTCTAGTTGTTCTCTTTGCCTTGAATATCTCTATCTCAAATACACAATATACATATATGAGCACCTATAAACGTGTTTGTTTAGGCTATCCCTAGACAAAAACCATGACACCCTATCTGAAAAATAACTTATGTAATATTTATTTAATTTAATATTTTTAATTTTTTTCTGAGACAGGTTCTTGCTGTAGTCAATACTATCCTGGATCTTACTTCTAATTCAGCCTCCTGAATGCTGAGCTTATAGTCATGAATCAATATGCTCAGCTATACTACTTTTCTGGTTCATTACTACTCAGAAAAGTGATGAGAATATATAGAAAATATGACATTAGCAGGAGAGATTCAGCACCAGTATCAGTTGATATCACCATTATCATCATCACATCATCTCTATACTCCTCCCCCTTCTCACTCATCATCACCAACATGGAAGTTTACTTTTTTTTTAGCTAGTAGCTTTGTACCTATAGGAAACAGACCTGTCCCAGTGTTAGCCATGGGTTTATTAATGAGACTCAGGTTTTTTTGTAAGGTCTTAGACAACAGTCACCTGTTCAAGAGTCCTGCTTTGAAAATATCCCACTAATACGGTCATCCTATCTTTTTAACATATGCTAGAAATGCCATTTTTTAAAAAACACCTAAAAATCTCCATTCTTTTCTCTGACTAGATCAATCATTGCTTCATTATCTACCTTAAAGATAATATAAGAAACCCAAAGAGAAACCTTACCAGTAATTGATCTGTACCTTCACTGAACACTGAGGATCATTAGTTTTGTTCATATATATATATATATATATAGATAGATAGATATAGATATAGATATAATGTTTCCACTTGATAAAAAGTATATACTATGTATATAACTTTTGACCTTTTCTGCTTGTCCTAAACTTATACTAAAAGGCCCAAAAGCTATGCATATATGACCATATAAGATGATGTTAAGTGAAATGAACACCACGATAGGGATATAAATGTTTTTTTTCCTTTATGCTATTGTTTTTAATGTATTTATAACGTACTTTGTGATTTTTTTTGTTTCTTTGGTATGTTCCTCCGCCACGGTATAACCCCTGTTTTCACTGTATTTGATTTTGGTGCCCTGCATCTTGTATATACATTTTTCTAGTTTGGAGAGGGAAGGGAAAAAACAAAATGTTTAAATAGGGATACAGGTTGACCCATTGCAACAATGAGATGTACAAGACACTATGTTAAAAACTAACTTTACAACTTGGGCAGGGGTGGGGGATTCTGGAGGGTTGAGTAGTTGGGGAGGTGGAGAAGGAAGGGATGGTAGGGGAAAAACAAAGGAGGAGGCATGAATGCTCAACAGGAAATGTACTCATTACCTTACTCATGTAACTATAATCCCTCTGTACAGAATTTTTACAATAAAAATGTATTAAAATAGTATATAGTAAACCTCTGAATCAATATGAAATTTCATTGTATTTTACTTCAATTGATTTCACAGGTTAAGGCCAAGCATAGTTTAGAAAATCTGCTGTAATCTGTCCTTTACGTACAGTAATGGCACATCATTTTAAAGATAAAAATTCTGAAATTTTAGAAAAGGATGCTTTTACTGAATTCATTAAAAGTCATATGTGTACTTGGCTGAGTGAGGTTTCATTTAACAAAGGTCAACATTCAAAATGAGCTTTCTGTGACTGCTTCTCCTTAAAGTATTTATCCAAACATAAAGTCTTAATTACTTCACAGAATTCGGGTAGAAAAACCACTCATCTTCCTGAGATTTGCAATGTGGCACCCAAATTGGTTACTAAGTAGACATTTCAAAATAGCTATGTAGAATATGTATGTACATAAAATTTTCAAATATATTATAATTCCCCAGGTTTGTCTTGATGCAATCTACCATGATTCCCCTGTGTAAAAATAGGAAACAAACCTAGAAGTATATGTATTTTTTTCAGTATCCTTTTGTACCAGTGCTGCGTGACTAACTGATGAGGCATTCCTTATACTTTGAGGAAGTTACACTCACTACTTTCATAACTTCTTGGCAATGGTCCAGAATTAGTATATTTCCATAAATTAGCAAGTAAAACCTTTTTCCTTGCTGTATTCTTACTCCTTAAATATTCTTCCTCCCTGAATGCATTTCATTTTTAACTACCTTTTCCTTAATTAATTTTGATGGTTGTGGGGCCTGAACTTTGGGCCTGGGCTCTGTCCATCAGCTCTTCAGCTCAAGGCTAGTGCTCTACCACTTGAGCCACAGGATCACTTTCAGCTTTTTCTGCTTATGTGGTGCTGAGGAATTGAACCCAGGGCATCATGCATACAAGGCAAGCACTCTAACACTGAGCTACCTTCCCAGCCCTCCTCACATTATTTTTATCATGTTTTCCTTATGTTAGACCTCTACAATATTTACTGAAACAATTCGATAGAAAATATAACTGCCGGGAGGCTGGGAAGGGATGTGAAGAGTAAACAAAGGAGGAGGCTGCAATGCTTGATAAGAAATGTACTCATTATCTTGCCAATGTAATTATAACCCCTCTGTACAGTATGTTCACAATAAAAAAAAAAAGAAAAAAAAAGAAAATATAACTGCCATAGTTGTGCTAATTCTTTGGAAGAAGAGAGTAAGCAAATCTTAAGTTTTTCCTGTGAGAGAATAAATAGTATTCAAAACTGAAAGAAGACGGAAGGTTAGAAAAACTTGTGTATAAAATCTTTTGATTTAATACTATATTTGAGAAATGACAAAATTTGTCATAAATGCTATCAGCAAAGCCTCCAGGTTTGGGTTAAACTGCGGCACAGACCATTTAGGCTTAAACTGATCTCACATTGAAAGGGGAAAGTTTTAAATATCTGGAATTGATTTGGACAGAAAAATCTAGCTTACATAATGACTGGCCTGTAGCATTTAAAATCAGTTGCAATTGTCTTTCCTTCCAGTCTGCACTTACACTCTTAGGTCATGTCTCCTTTTCTATCACTCTCTACTGCCTGACTGATTTCCTATAAAACATACCCTTTCAACACTTGTTTGATCTTTGGTTTTAGTTTGTAGGGACCTGGAGGCTTATCCCTTCCTCTTGTCACTTAGTTCTGACTCTAATCTTCACTCTGGAACTAGAAGCTGAGAATAGCTCCCAGGCTTATTTGTCTAAGTAATTTTCCAGTTTGGAAACCTATTCTTCTTTTCCAATAGGACTTTTATTTATCTTTTAACTTTTAGCTAATTTTAGACTTATGGAAATGTTGCAAAAGTAGTAGAGTAAGCCAGGCATTGGTGATTCATGACTGTAATCCTAGCCACTCAGGAGGCTGAGATCTGAGGACTGAGGATTGAAGCCAACCTGGGCAGGAAAGTCCATGAGACTCTTTTCACCAATAAACTATTCAAAACAGCCAGAAGTAGAAAAAAAGAGCTCAAGAAGAGCACCCATGGCCTGGGTTCAAGCCCTATGACAGGCACAAAAAAACAAAAAAGGAAAAAGTAGTTCAGAGTTTCCATTTATTCCTTACCCAGTTACTAATTATTAGCATTTTCTATAACCACAGCATAATTATCAAAACCAGTAAATTAAGACTGGCACAATAATAATACCTAAACACATTTTCCTAACTTTAGTTTTTCGTGTGTGTGTGTGTTTTTTTTTTGGGGGGGGGAGGTCCGGTCGTGGGGCCTGAACTCTGGGCCTGGGTGCTGTCCCTCAGCTCTTCAGCTCAGGGCTAGCACTCTGCCACTTGAGCCACAGCGCCACTTCCGGCTTTTTTCTTTTTGCTTATGTGGTGCTGAGGAGTCGAACCCAGGTCCTCATGCATGCAAGGCAAGCGCTCGACCACTGAGCCACCTTCCCAGCCCCTAACTTTAGTTTTTCTATAATGTTTTTTCCTGCCCAGAATTCTATCCAGAACCTCGTATGACATTTAATTTGTTCTTTGTCTCCTCTTCTCTGTAAAAGATCTTTGGTAGTTAGTTTTCAGAATTCAGATATTTTCAAATATTGATCAGTTAGTTTAAGGTTTGTCTGGTATTTTCTGATGATCTGTGATTTTTTTTTTTTGTGGTAAGACCACCACAAAAATTGTATTAAGTACTTTTAGTGGAATATAGTAGTATATCATGGGGTTATTGATGTTGGCATATCCTATTATGATTGAGGCAGACCTTGTTTACTTGGTTCAAGTTAAGGATTTGTTATGTTTTCATTACTGTGAAGTTGCTATCACTCTTTTTGTATTTAAAAAGGTACCAGTGGCTCATACCTACAGTTTAAGCTATTTAGTAGACTGAAATCAGAAGGATCATGGTTTGAGGCCTGCTTGGGCAAACGTTGTGAGGCTCCTTCTCAACCAATAGTTAGGAGTAATGGTATACATCTGTCATCCTAGTTATGTATGAGGCTGAGTTTCTCTTCTAAGGTGTGTGTGTGTGTGTGTGTGTGTGTGTGTGTGTGTGTGTGTGTGTGTGTGTGTGTGTGTGTGTGTGTGTGTGTGTGTGTGTGTGTGTGTGTGTGTGTGTGTGTGTGTGTGTGTGTGTGTGTGTGTGTGTGTATATATACTATATAATTGTCCTTCCTCTCTCACTTCTTCTCTTCTTCCTTTTCTCCTCCTCCTCTTTCTCTCTCCTCTCTCTCCTCTTTCTTCTCCCCTCCCTCTCTTGCAGACTATATTACTCTCTTACCAACAAAACAAACAAAAACTAAAACCACTGGTTTGAAAAGCTCATTTAAAAGTTAGTGTCTTCTTGCTGTTTTGTTTCGACTTCTATAGCACAACTTAGATAACTGAACTACAAAATGTGGTATAATTCCTCTTTCTCTCCCTTCCCTCCCTCCCCATAAATGCTAAGGGCAAAATTAAACACGTCCTATCTTCAGGTGCAAATAGTTTTATATTTTGCTTATAATGGAAATAATTATAAAATTAAACTGTATTTCTAAACTAAGTGCAAAATCAATAATTTCCTACATTTAGAATATTTTAAAACTTCTGAATAATGACACAGACATAAATTTTAACCAAAGGATGTTTTTGTGCAATATTTAATATAAAAAAGAAAAAAATCTAATCTCTATAGTTTGCTTAAGAGATTATATCATCACCACTCCTTAAGTGGGATAAAGGGTCACATATAATATTTAATAACATTAACATTCTAATAATTATATAATTGTAACAATATAACTATTAAGTTACTATTCAATATAATTAAATGTAAGTATTAATGTTAATACTTATAATACTCAGTGTTTTTCAAATACAGAAAGTATCTTGGGATTCTCTTGATGAGAGAAGGACTAAGATGTAGGGAGACTTAACTGATTGTCTTAGCACTTATTACCATCTGATACATTATATATTAATTTGTTTATTGATCTCCTACCATGAGAACATAGGCTACATAACGCAGAGATTCTTATTTTATCTCCAGCTCTGGATTATCAGAGCTTTAATACATTCTAAGTAAATAACTGAAAGTGATGCTGGACAATTAACAAAGTAGTTGGAAGAAATATGTGCTTCTGACTCTTAGTAGACTAGATATCTCTGAAGAAAGTAGAACTTGACAATATTACAAATGATTTGTAACACAAGATAAGCAAAGAAATTAGAAACAACAGATACTGAGGAAGATTAAGGAGAGGAAGAATGATGAAAACTGAGTTTCTATGAAGTTTATAAAAGAGAAGTTAGATCCGACCCCTCTGTACAGTATGTTCACAAATAAAATAAAATTAAATTAAAAAAAAAAAGAAATGTACTCATTACCTTGCTCATGTAATTGTGACCCCTCTGCACAGTATTTTCACAATAAAAAACTTATTAATATAAAAAAAAAAAAGAGAAGTTAGATCCGCAGATCTCCATCTCCCAGTCTGCCTGCCTAGCCAACTGGCCACTTCCCAACACCCACTGGAAAAAGAATTATATTTACTAGAAAAACCAAATAAGAAAAACTATATTTGAGGATTTAATTTTGAAATAAAAAATTAATTAGGGACAGCAAACACAGGAAGGCAGGGAACCAGTATAAGGTTGAAAATATGGGTCTTCAATAAAAGTCAGCAAATGAATGTTGAAATCCAGGTCTTTCCTGCCCAATTTCAGAATGCTGGCATCTAGCCTATATATTCTCTAAGCAAGAGAGTAGAGAATTCTTTGTTAGAGGATGTGAACAGTACTTATGGACATTGACTTCTGGGTATTTTAAATAATGGAAGGGTCATCTTACTGAATTAAACATACATAAGCTTTGTATCGGTTTTTTAAGGTCTAGCCATTAAGGGAATGCGAATATATGCTTAAAACAAGAACAAGATGCTACAGAAAGGGGAAAACTTCAGAAGAAGAGCTATTGGAAATTAAAGTTATGATAATCAACACAAAATACTTTGTAAAATGGTAAGATAATGTTTAAGCAATCTATCAAAGCTAGGTAAAAAAATAAATCCTCAAACTAAGAGTAAAATTACAGGAAATGAGGGAGAAAAATTAAGAAAACTATAGAGCACAAGTACAGGAAATCTAACATTTGATTAAATAGAAGTTGCAGAAACAGAGAAAGGAAACCATTAATAAATAATACAGCAGCATTTTATAGAACTGAAGAATATATCCAGGATTTGTTTTGTACTAACATAATAAATGAAACAAAAAAGACCTAAGAGTAATGGTGATTAAAAGAAGATCCTAAAAACTTCTATAGAGAAAAGGGTATATATAAAGAATTTTTAGTAAGAACAGTATGACAATTTTTTTTTCAGTATGACAATTTTTAATAACAACATTAGAAGCTCAAGACAATGAAGCAATGCCTTCAGAATTCTGATGGAAGACAACTTTTAGCCTAGAATGATAAATTATGTAAACCGTATAATATGAATATAGCATTGAGATACATTTAGAAATCTTCGGCCTCATAAAAACATATGTATCTTTCTTAGGAAGCTACTAGAAGATGTGTTCTACCAATGGGATAAAATGACAGAATCAGGAACAAAGATGACACGGGGTATGAATTTTCACTATAAGCAAATGATAAGCCTTAAGAGTATCCAGAAAAGCAAATCGTTTAAATAGGGATACAGGTGGACCCACTGCAACAATGAGATGTACGAGTTGTTATGTTGAAAACAAACTTTACAACTTTGGTGTGGGGTGGGGAGAGGGGGTGGGGAGAATTAGGTGGGGGGGGCAGGGGGAGGATGGGAAGGGATGGGAAGGGGAAACAAAGAAGGAGGCTACAATGCTTAATAAGAAATGTACTCATTATCTTGTCCATGTAATTGTAACCCCTCTGTACAGTATTTTCACAATAAAAAAAGAAAATAAACTTTAAATAAAGAGAAGAATAATAAGCCAATATTTTGGATTATGATGTAAATTTTTCCCTTTGAAACTGATTCTTTAATATATATTTTTTACAAAAAAAAAAAAGTATCCAGAGCACAAGTTAAGCATCATGGAAGGTTCTAGAGTGGAAATCTCTAGGGGGAAAAATGTAAATGAAAAGTGGCACCAATGAAAAGCATTTTATAAAACTATACAAATGGTTAGAAATGACTTAGTCAAAAGCTTGAAGGAAAATGAGTGAATTTTTAAATGAGATATTTCATAAATCTGAGGAAAAACAAAATGTTCAAAAAGGAAATATTTTCCCTTGTTCCAGAGGGAGTGAAACATAATTGCGTGGCAGCTAATAGGGATTAAATAAAGGCTCCTGATATATATGTATCGAGGTAATGGTAGAGGAAAATTAAAAAGATTAACTGTTATCAACTATATTAATCAGAGATAATGTACAAATGGATGAGAAAAGTTACAGCAACATATTAATATTATTTAGAAAAATGGACATAAAATCAGAGAAGCTATTCTGAGAAAGGGGTATCTGTTCTGTGGAAAAAAATGAATGTGCATGTTAGTTTGAGAAAAATATAAATTTCAAATTCAATCAAACATAAAAATATCATGAAAAGCTAGAAATGACAATTAAAACTTTTTTGGAGACAGTCTTGTTACATATTCTAGTCTTTCAGCTTTTGATCCTCATACTTCAGTCCCTTGAGTGTTGGTATTACAGGTATATACCAACATGCCTGGCTTAAAAAAAACAACTATTGATTATTTGTATTGTGATCTTCGATAAATCATGTAGTTCTTTTTTTTTTTTTTTTTTTTGCTAGGTTATAGGCCTTGAACCCAGGGCCTGGGTGCTATCTGTAATCTCTTTTGTTCAAGGCTAAAGCTCTACTACTTTGAGCCACAGCTCCACTACTGATTTTTAGTTAATTGGAGGTAAGAGTTTCATGAGAATTTTTCTGCCCGGGCTGGCTTTGAACTGTGGTCTTCAGATCTCAGCCTCGTGAGTAGCAAGGATTACAGGTGTGAGCCACTGGTACCCTGCAACCATATAGTTCTTTGAGTCTCAATTTCTTTACCTGTTCATGGGAGTATTTTATTTCTAAGTATTTCCAATTCTAACATTCTTATTCCATCATAGTAACAGCAGAAGAGAAAAAGAGAAATTTTTCTTTATGCTGTCATGGATACATGCTTTTTGTTCAATTTTGCCCAAGGGTCTTGGTATTTGACTTGGTGTTAAAATGTAACTAGCATGTCCCCAATTTGGAAATCCTATTGTACCTGTGAGGCTAGTCTTCGCATTGCCTCTTCTTGCCGCCTGCGCATTTCTGGAGTACCTGGGCAGCTTCCACTGGTGATAGATGAGTGGGCTGAAGGTGGCTGTGTCAGTGGCAGCTCTCTGTTGGCATCCACGTCTGGATTAAAAAGAAAATATGTTTGCATCAGATAATCGTAATTCTGAACTAAAAAAGAGTAGATTTCATTTGTATGATGTAGCAACTCCAATTCTAGTTCTATACTCAAGGGAATATATATTTTATGACCACATAAAATCTTGAACAACAATGTTCATAGAAGCATAATTTATAATAGCAGAAAATGACAACAACTCAAAAGTCTATCAACTAATGACTGATAAATGTGACATCTCTGTACAATGAACTACTACTTCACAATAAAAAAAAATGAGGTATCTATCTCTATATGTAACTTAGATGACCCATGAACATATTACCTATTGTTAAACAAAGTCACAAAGATCCACATAGTATATGATGCTATATATAAGATAGGGAAATTCATAGAAACAGAAAAATAAATAAGGCCTTCCTCAGACAGAAGCTACAAGGTTAGAGAAAATGGAGATCTATGTTAGGAGGCATGGATTTCTTTTAGTGGCATGAAAGTGTTTTAAAATTACATTATAGTGATTGTTATATAATCTTGTGAATATACTAAAAATCCTAATTGAGCACTTTGTTATTTCAGTTTAGCTTACATATTTTTTGAGATAGGATCTTATTATATTGTCTGGGTAGACATTGAATTCTCAATTCTGTTCTACCTCCTGAGTGCTGAGATTACAAAATATATACCATCATACTGGATCTGAACTGAGTACTTAAAATGGGTGAATTGTAAGGGGTGTAAATTACAGTTCCATATGACTTTTTTAGAAACTTAAATTCAGTTGTCCTCTTATACATTTCTACTACTAGAAATTATAGGCTGCATTCATGAATAAGATCATACTTTAAAAAAGATCTGAGATTGTTATTTGGTGGCCAATGGCTATTGAAAAGGAGGAATAGGGGAAAACAGTCCATATTTAACTTTGTACCAGTAAGAGTTGCTATATAACTGATGAAGTAGATTCTTTGGTCACTGAATAGAGTTCTGAATAGCTGCAGAGGGTGAATACAATAGAAAAAGTCTAAATGAATTTGTGACATTTGTGTTGAAGTAAAGTTTAGTGATTGTTACTGTATTACTTCTGCTATTCACTCTCTTCCTGACTCCATTTCCTTTTATCTACAATTTTATTTTGTGGGTAACTACTGTCCACATACTCTGCCTTCTAGGTCTTCCCTTTTGAGATTGCCCTCCTTTTTGTTGGATATCTTGTTTGGTATTTGGAGAACAATAGAGATAAAAGTTAATAGGAAGTAATCAGTATGCACAGCAAAGTGGCAACTCTTGAAAAGAGCAGAACTGGGATTACTTAACTTGGCAGCTGTTCAGGGACTTGGTAGCACTTAAGAATGGTCAGATCTAGTAATTACACTAGGACTTTTAGCGATAGGAAATCATAGACTTGTATTAAGCAAAGCCTCCCTAACTATTGCATGGAGTATACCTGTAGTGAATGCAATTATGTTTGAATTATGCAATAAGTCTATTTTCACAAAATGTTTTTGTTCTTTGTGTGTCTTGGTGAGAGGGGGTGCTGTGGCAAAAAAATGATGGAGGAGTCAGAGATAGGAGAGCAGGCAGAAAATAGGATGACAGGATAGTGTCTGTCTTGACAGCTTTTCTGTACTTTCCAAGGGAAATGACAAGGAGGGGGCAGACTGAGAGGCTGGCTGTAGAGGAATGAAGCACTGCAGGCTAAATTGCTCACATCTTTTGCAGCAGCACTGCTAAGTGAAGAGGAGGCGAAAGAACGAACAACAGATGATGTAGAGAGAGAAGTCAAAAGAACTTTCCATGTATTATTATTACCACAATGACATCACTGGTATCATTGATGAAGGATTAAGAAATCCAGCAAAGTTCCAAATAAACCTTCCCAGTTTAATGTAACTTATTCATTAATTTTAAAAAGTGTGCTGTTTCAAATAACATTTTCAGTGTCAGCTCTTATAGTAGCAGATTTAAGCTGAAAAACAGCTTGCATTCTATCAGTCACTTATTCTTGACTCTTCTTTAAGAACTATTAAGATGGTAGTGGCAGACTAGTTTGAACATAAATAGATTACAACAAAGATTATTTTGTATAAGGCAATACTGGTTCGATGTAATTCTTATAGATACACATTATCTTTTTTGATTTCTTTTCAAGTTTTAAAAGATAGTTAACTATGAAGTCAAATTTATAAACTCAACAATGAAATGAGGACTATCCTACTGTTTCCAGAGATACTCAGTAGAGAGAAGGCAATGGATATTTAAAAACAATTTAATGAACTACTTTTAAAGAATCTTTACTTGGGTATAACACAGTCTTTTTTTCTATAACTTTTTCTTGTCTAGGTTTATGAGGATAGGGGTGTCATTAGGTACTTTTGCTTTCTAAGAAAACAGCTCTCACCCTTGAGATTTATTTTCTGTCATGCATGATTCTACCATTGTTAATAGCAATACTGATATATGAAGGATCAGACAGCATATTAACTATCTGGGCTTTCCTTCCTGTACACTCAAATGACTCATCTCTTAGGGTGATAGACATTTAAGTACCCAAAGAAAAATACTGAAGTATGATTGGAAATTTTTTTTGTCCAACCTTTTAGACATGTTCTTAGAATCAAAATTTTAGTAAGAAGCGATTTATTTTATTTTTGAGGTATTAAGGAATGAACTCAAGGCTTTGTTCATGATAAGCAAGCTCTCTACCATTGAGATACAACATCTATAGCTCTAGAAGCAATTTTAAGGACAGACTAGTCGTATTTCTTAATTTTTCAGATAAGAAAATTGAAATATAAAAAAATTATAGGAAATTTCTTAAGTCTGTAAAGTACTATATATTCATTTTGAGTGCTGGGGCACATATACTGAATTCTTGACTATGTCGATCTAGTTTAGAAGTATTTTATTTACTAGATATACTATTCCTCCTAAGAATTAACTCATACATATCCTGGCTATGAGAGTATTTTGATTCAACTAGTTTTATTCTTAGACATTAACTTTTCTTCTATATGTGAGCCATTCCTAAGTTTATCAGACATAATTTACCTACTTGATAGAAAGCTATTAATTTCAATAGGAACAAGATGTTTGGAGAGTATTCAGTTAAGTTGCTGTTAAGTTTCTAGACCTTGTGACTACTATAATCTCACATAATAATTTTAAGTGTGTGATAGGCCAGATTACTAATTTGGACTATTAGAGCAAAATCTTCCTTTTTTGTTCTATGATTATGAACAAAAACCAGGTAGACTGGTTTCCTAGATATAATGAATATAATAAGAACATTTATACATTTTCATTTATTGTCTTTACTTGACTGAATTTCATCAACAAGAAGAGACAGCATAGAAAGATGGATGAAAGCCTGGTTTCTCAAGTTAGATTGCTCAGTTTTGCCATTTTGGCTGTAAAACCTGGAAGTGCCTACTTACTAGCCTCTTTAAGCCTCAGATTACTTACATTTTAAATGAAGGCAAAACAAAGCACCTCACTGAGTTGATAATGATTGTATGAGTTAATATTTTTAAAGCACTTAAATAAAACTGACATATAGTAGGCACGTATGAGTATTTTGCCTTTTTTTTTTTTTTGGGGTCCGGTTGTGGGGCCTGAACTCTGGGCCTGGATGCTGTCCCTCAGCTCTTCAGCTCAAGGCTAGCGCTCTACCACTTGCGCCACAGCGCCACTTCTGGCTTTTTTCTTTTTGCTTATGTGGTGCTGAGGAATAGAACCCAGGCCTCAGGCATGCAAGGCAAGCGCTCTACCACTGAGCCACCTTCCCAGCCCCATGCATGAGTATTTTGAAAAGAAATAATCAAGATCCTGGTGATGATCGTTAAGTGATCAAAGAAGCCTCAACATACATGAGAACTCTTGTAACTTTTCACAAAGAAGCAGGAGAATACTTCAGGGACACAATAAAGTTCACATACAAACTACAACACTGACATCAACAGCAAAAAAATGAAGGCTGGGAAGAAATGGCATAGGCTGAACAAAATTTGGCAAGGATAGATATAAATGGCTCTACAGGTAATTGCTGAAGTCACTATCCAAAGAGCAGACTAGTCATACAACTCTTAGGAACCACAAATCTGTTTCAGGTGGAAGACTTTCTTCAGTTTCACTTAAGGTAACTTTGATATATTGGTTAGATATACTCAGATTACATTCTTGCCTGCCAAAGAAGCAGGAAGTTCTTTAAAAGGAATACTTACGTTTGGGAGAGGCATGTGGGCTGTCTGAGGCAATCTGTCTCATCCGTGTACCATGGCAGCTGAGTGCCACCAGTCTGGAAATGATGGCAGTTTTGCCAAACCCAATGTTTCCCACAATCACCACTCCCTGGTTTACACTGTCATTTGAACTTTGAAGCTGAGCATCTATTTCGTGGAAAACCCAATCCCGGCCGACAAACACGGACTCTGTAGTGATGCTGGGCACTTCAAAGAGCAGAGGCTTCAGGGAAATATCTGGAGGCCTATAAGGTGCAAAGCGAACTGAAAGGAAAAAATAAGACAGGAAGTTAGATGAAACTTTCAACAAGTGGAAGGTAGGGGAAAGAGAGTAAGAGAAAACAGTTTAGAAGACTATGAGGGTTCCAGAGTGAGGGGTCTATAACCCTCTTTCTATATCTTTTAATGGTGGATTATGGCAAGATACAAGAGTAGAGTTTCTGAGCATGAGGCTAGGCTACTGTGGGGTTTAAGACAGATCTCTTTACCAAACAGTAAGGACAGATTTCAATATTGAACAACAAATATAGTTGTACCTGTACCTTGCTGTTGGAAGCAATGTACAGTAAACAAACATAAAAACATCAATAAAAACAGTAATTCTTTTACATTTAAGTTTATCATGTTGTTATGGTTTTTAATTTAATAATTATATTATTTGGGAAAGCCAGTCCCTAAAAGCTCTGATAGGTTAGGAAGTCTTTTATTTTTTTTGGTCATGGGGCCTGAACTCTGTGCCTGGGTGCTGTCCCTGAGCTCTTCAGCTCAAGGCTAGCACTCTACCACATGAGCGACAGCACCACTTCCAGCTTTTTCTGCTTATGTGGTGCAGGGCCTCATGCATGTGAGGCAAGCACTCTACCACTGAGCCACCTTCCCAGCCCCAGGTTAGGAAGTCTTAAACATATTAAGTAGTTAAAGAAATATAAGCCAAGCTTTTGCTAATGTCATAGTATCTGGACTGATAGCATTCATGCCGATTTTAAAATAGGGTGCTTTTTATGGGGTTTATATCTACATCTTGGGGATAGATTCCTGTGACTTTTCTCAAGAGATTTTCCCCTTCTGTGCTTCTATAATTATGGGATGTGCTAGAGGCCAATCAGGAGCTATAATTTCAACGGCGTAACAGATGTGAGTTAATTTCAAAGATCAAACTTCTAATTATATTGATGGTAAAAGGAAATCTTGCTTGACTATCTTTATTTGAGTTGCGTATCTAGTAACTGTTCTAAGAGAGATTATTTTTTCTTTCTAGAACAAGCCATATCATTTCTGTATTACCAAACAGCATAATTCCTTGACACATGACATAGGTACTCAATAAATGCTTAAGAGTTAGAGAAAAGGAATCATACCCTCACCCTATTTTATATTTTGGAAAAAGAAAGACCAGGAGTGGGAAAAAGGTGGAACAAAAGAATGAAAATTTTAAAAAGGGGAAATGAGATCTATTATACTACTTGCATTATTCTTGAACATACTTAAAGCATTATTTACATCATAAAATGGGATTACAAAGAGGTAGCCTACTTGAGAAAACATAGATACACACATATATACTCCTATTTATAAGTGCCTTGAAGTCATTAGAATGATAACTTCACATTTGAAAAAGCAGTACCAATAATTAAAACTGTAAGACTAAATTCTGACAACAGAAACAGATATTTCCTATCTTAATTTTAAAATGCCTTCAACTTCTCACTAAAGTGTGTGTGTGTGGTGCAGCACTTTGGAGACACCACTACATGGTCTCTTACAATTTTTTGATTTATATCTGTTTAGAGAACTGAGTCTGAAAATCCTTAAGTGGGGGGATTTGTGTAGAGAACCTTTGTGTTGCATATGCAAGTTTTGGGTTCAGAGCCTAGAACTGCAAAAAAACAAAAACCAACAAAAATAATAACTATAGAGATTTAATGGAAATATTAGGATCTAATATCCTTTATATTTATTTTTAATTAAATTATTATTTAGTTGGTTGTAAGGCTTGAACTTGGTTGGGTCCTGGGTGCTGGCCCCGAGCTCCTTTTGCTTAAGGTTGGTGCTCTACTTACTTGGAGCCACAGTGCCACTGGTTTTCTAGTAATTTATTAGAGATAAGAGTCTCACAGACTTTCTGCCTGGGCTAGCTTTGAGCCATGATCCTCAGATCTCAGACTCTGAGTAGCTAGGATTACTGGCTTGGGGCATCATCACCCAGATTACATAATATGCTTTAATAATCCAAAACAAGTACTATTGTATTTCATTTTCCTCAGAAATACATCAAATAACTTGAAAATAATAATTTTTTTTGGGGGGTCCGGTCATGGGCCTGAACTCTAGGCCTGGGTGCTGTCCCTTAGCTCTTCAGCTCAAGGCTAGCGCTCTACCACTTGAGCCACAGCGCCACTTCCGGCTTTTTTTTCTGCTTATGTGGTGCTGAGGAATCGAACCCAGGGCCTCTTGCATGCAAGGCAAGTGCTCTACCACTGGGCCACCTTCCCAGTCCCCAAAATAATAATTCTTAGCATTGCATTAAAAACCCAGATATTACATAAAATATAGAAAGTAAATATTTACAAATATTTATCTTAGAAATAACCAAAGAAATACAATCTGAAGAAAATACACCATTAAAGAAGTGTTTTTTGTTGGTTGTGGGGGTTGAACACAGGGCCCCGCATTATCCCTGAACTTTTTCACTCAAGGCTAGTGCTCTATCACTTGAGCCAGAGTACCACTTTTGGCTTTTTTTGAGTACTTTATTAGAGAAAAGAGTCTCATGGACTTTCCTGCCCGGGCTGACTTTGAACCGAGATCCTCAGATCTTAGCCTCCTGAGTAGCTGGGATTATAGGCGGGAGCCACTGGCACTTACCTTTTTTTTTTTTTCCTCTGTAACATTCAAAATCATCTTTTGGAAAATTTTTTTTTCAGTTGTTACTGGGAACATAATTATCCAACTTTTAGAGAAGTAAGTTGTGGGATAGTAATAATTTAACAAATAACACTTTGACCTTAAACTCCTATTTCTGGGAATTCATTCTAAGGAAATGATTTCACACACACACACACACACACACACATTCTTTGAACATATATCCCGTTAACAAGAATGATTTAGTACCCTATAGTAAGTATATCTACAAAAGACTATGCACTGAAATATAACTATTTTTACAAAATCATAGAAATAGTTGATATAAAATTAGTAAAATAGTAGAGTAGAAAACCATACTATATATGTACATATATATTATGATTACAACAAAACATGTGCTTTGGAAGGAAATGGGCAACAATCAAGTTCATGATGAGATGACATGATCAATGATAGCTTTAATAATTTTCTAAAAATTATTTTTCAGGTCCATGTGTAATATTTCATATCTTTAATTCTAGCTACTAGAGAAAAAAAATAAATGTTTTGGTTCTGCCTATCTGAGGGCAGTCAGGAAAAAAGATAGCTTTGAAACTCCTTTATATAACTACTTAAAGATAAATTTTAAAAAAAGGAAAAAAAAACTTAGTAAGACCAGAACAAAGCAAGCACAGGCTGGACAACCTTGTAATCCCAACTATGTGAGGGGCAGAGGTAAGGAGAATCATAGTCTGAAGCTGGCCTCGGGCAAAAGCGTAAGTCCCTACCTTAAAAATAACTAAAGCAACTAGGCACTAGTGGGCTCACACCTGTAATACTAGCTACTCAGAAGGCTGAGATATAAGGATTATGGTTTGAAGCCAGCCTGAGCAGGAATGCCTGTGAGATTCTTATGTCTAGTTAACCACCAAAACATCGGAGGTAGAGGTGTAGCTTAAGTGGTAGAGTGCTAGCCTTGAGCAAAAAAGCTCAGGGACAGACCCTGAGTTCAAACCCTAGGACCAACAAAACAAAACTTCCCAAAGCAAAATAAATAAATAAAAAAAAATAAAATTCTAAAGCTAATCAGATTTAGGGTTGTGGCTTAAGGGCTAGAGTGCTTACCACTAAGGCCTTGAGTTCAAATCCCAGTATTTCTAAAATGTAGTTTTTATTATTTATTTAGCCAATCCTGGGGCTTGAACTCAGGGCCTGAGCACTGTCCCTGAGTCTCTGTGCTCCAGGATAGCACTCTACCAGTTGAGCCACAGTGCCACTTCGGGCTTTTTTCTGTTTATGTGGTACTGAGGAATCGAACCCAGGGCTTCATGCATGCTAGGCAAGCACTCTACCACTAAGCCACATTCCCAGCCTAAATGTAGTTTTTAATATGAATATTTTACCCATAGACAAAAGAAACAAATAATGAAAATCATTAATTCTTCTGTCATAAAATAACTACTACCAAGTCCAACAATGAATTAACCAGTTAACTGAAACAAACAAGTATATGTATGTTCAGTATTTGTTTACTACAATAATTTATATAGCTGGGTGCTGGTGTAATCCTAGCTAATCAGTAGGCTGAGATCTAAGGACTGTGGTTCAAAGCCAGCTCAGGTAGGAAAGTCCATGAGACTTACCTACAAGTAACCACTAGAAAATCAAAAGTGGAGCTGTGGCTCAAAGCGGTAGAGAAACAGCCTACAGCAAAAGAGCTCAGGGACAGTGCCCAGGCCCTGAGTTCAAATTCCATGACTGACAAAAATTAAAATTAAAAAGTGTATATAGATTTCTTACAAATGAAAAAAACCCACATATTTAACTTTAAAATTTTAATTATTTTAGTTTCAGGATAAATATCCCTAACCAACAAATCTGAAATTCAAAATGATCAAAAATTTGAAGCACTTTTGATCCTTAACATTTTTGATAAGGGATATTCAACTCTAATGTACTACAGAATGATTAATAACAAAATCAGTTTTGTCAAGACACTCTGAATATTAGGCTGCATAGCTGGTTTATAGCTCCTTTAGTAGGCAATGATACCCATTTAAAGTGGATCTAACTCCAGTGACATGGGTAAGATTCACTGGATTGTGGCCCATCAGGCTATTCTACTGCCACACACTACCCCTTTACACTGACAGACCACGTCAGCTGTACCTACTATGTTAGACTGTGTAGACCATGGTCAACTTGTCAATGTTAGTACCCACAAGGCCTGTTGTATACCCACTGAACTGAGTGCAGTCTCCATGCTGGACCCGGATGAGTATGATAAAGTGGTGATGAAAAATTAAGAGATGGTAGTATAAGGATATATACTACTGAGATTTGGAAGCCCTTGAATATAGACAGAAAGACAGTCTCACACATGCGCGCGCGCACACACACACACATACACACACACA